TGCTCACTATTATTTCTTATTTCGCTATTATTAGACTTACAAGCTTAGTTTCAATGATGCCACATTGTTCTTTCATTTGGCCGGAATAGCGAGCTGCTTTCGATCTGTACACGTAAGCCATTTAATTTGTATATTACACAAATGTTTCCACGAGACAGACAGTTTTAAGTGCAAGAGGTGCAAAAGTGCAGAATCACTCCAGCATCCCCTCAAAGATCGAGGTACGATACGTGGTGTCGAGTGCTTGACGTTCCGGGAATACGAAGCGGCATCGCTGATACGAATGCACCCGCGAATCTGCTGTGTCCGCGATTGATCAATCTGTTTTCGCTAAAGAGTGTCGGTGTGACGCTTGCTTTTGAGGCACCAATCAGTGGAGATCTTTAGCATTGGCCCGAGCATTAACTAGCTGGCAGACGAGCGCAACGAGGAGCCGCTAGATGCGTCAACTTACGTCATTCGCGAGAGGGAGCGGGGGAGTCGGTTCGCGACGTGGTTTTTCCCGAAGAAGCCGAGACTCTTCGCGATCGAGCGCCGCCGCTCCTCGCGAGGAAGTGTCGTAACTCGAGGGAGTGAACGCAATAGATGAAATTAAAATCGGGAAACGCGCGCGGGTCTGCGATACTCAATTAAAGTAGCGATTGCGTCAGCAGCGGGTTTTACAATTAACGAAATGTCGAGAACTGAAAAACGAAACGTTGGAATAACGTGACAAAATTCTTGCACTATAGCGAAAGCACCAAAAGCGAGTAGCACTGTCTCCTTCTGTCCCCTTAGAAAGAGATAGAGCCGCTCATTTCTAGCATTTTTACTATTGTAATGTACAGAATTTATCAGCGTTTTTTTTACAATTGTTCGACGAGCAACGTCGAATCGCGAGCGCGTTATCGCTTTGTGGCAGAGCGCGTAAATATTACGAATACACAATCAGAAGGGAGAACGTAAGGATAGAGATAGCCGTGCAGTGCCGCGGCAATTATCGCCGAGGAAAACTGAGAAGAAAAGGGGTGAAGGGTGGGGGGGACATCGCTGACTCGAACCAAATCGCATGTCTGCGCTTCTATCTACTGCTCCCTTTCTTTTTTACAAATCGTTTGCGTGCATAGATAAAGTAATTATCATTTTTATTTCTCGGAACGCCACTCTCATTTCATTACGCGTAAATACCGCGAAGTGCGCAATTTCAACCGTGATCTTGTATGAAATTTACATCTCGCGAATTAGAGGGAGTTAATTAACATGAAAGTCGACCGCGACACAACGCTGACGCCTAGAGACCCATCATTTGTGCGGTAATTAATAAAACATTTTCCCTCGTTGTTGCATAACATTACCCCCCGATTGCATTCCGACGCTCGTTTAATTACAGAGAGCGGGGCATTACATGGAAAACACGGAATTTTTTTTCTGCTCCGAATTTGCGAATTGTGAAACGATCAACCAAATGAAAGCCGCGTGGAGGTTATTTTCCGAAGAGCAACGCTCGTGGGCGCGCGCTCTCTCATTCCAATATCGATTCTCAAGGCCTGCGTCCACGATGCTAGAACTTGGGCACAGTTCTTGAATCGTGGACGCAAGGCTTTAAAGGTCTGCGTCCACGATGCTAAAACTTGGACAAAGTTCTTGGATCATGGACGCAAGGTTTTAAAGGTCTGCGTCCACGATGCTAGAACTTGGTCCAAATTCTATTATAGTTCCGAGAAATGTGTAGTCAATCAACTTGCAGCTATTCCGTAAAAGCTGCAAGTTGATTGACTACACATTTCTCGAAACTAGAACTCGAACAGTTCTTGAATCGTGGACGCAAGGTTTTAAAGGTCTGCGTCCACGATGCTAGAACTTGGTCCAAATTCTATTATAGTTCCGAGAAATGTGTAGTCAATCCAACTTGCAGCTATTCCGTAAAAGCTGCAAGTTGGATTGACTACACATTTCTCGAACTTGGACCAAGTTCAAGCCTCGTGGACGCAGGTCTTTACGTCGGAATCTCACGTCTTCCTCCCGTCGTATCGCAAAATCCCACAAATCTCGCGTGACGAGCGACCAGAGAACCAGGCAAGACCGCACGTGCGTGCGGCGCGAATTTTGAGGTCAGCGCGTCTTGCGTCACAGCGTGATTTTTCGTGCGCGGCGTACGCAACACGGAAAGTTCGCTCCTCCTCCGACGAGATTTCCCCTTTCGCGATCGTGGCATGTCCTCTCTCTCTCTCTCTCTCTCTCTTTCTCCGTAAACCGCCCACAATTTTGAAATCTCATTTCAAATCTGCAATTATTGCACCGCACCGAGCGCATCGTTTACGCGACTTATTCTGACACGCGTTCGACGAATTAATTCACCTTCGCGCAACAGTAAAGTCAGTTGAAAAAATGCTTAAACAAAGTCCTTTACAAACATATTTTCTACCTCGAATCGACATTCGAAAAGTTGAAAGTCAACAAGTCTCGCTCGAAACAAAGTATAACATTTTCACGGTTTCCATCGCGCCTCAGGATCTGTCGGCGAGCGGAAGTCCATCGCACGTAGAGTCTCGATTCACGAGGACGACGCGCATCTCGCGGAAGAGGCAGAGGTCGTCGCCGCCACCGCCGCCGCCGCCGCCGCACGGTTTCCCAGTACAAAAAACCTGTTGCTTCGGTGGCCGCGCCACGCGAGCCGCGCCACGCCGCGTCTCCCGAGCGTCGCCGCCGGCGTGCGAAAGCGGCGGAACTCGCGGCCAAGTTCGCGGGAGCCGCGAGACCCGGGGCGGGCGCGCCCGCCCGTCGAAGGTGAATTGATGTAGGAGCGGCTGGCGAATTCGCGGAAAGCCGCGCACCGACGTCAACGTCGTCTCTTACCCGCTCGGCCTAACGGCCGCGAGTGCACCTGCACTCGCGTCCGCAGGTACGGCGCGATGACACCCGACGCCGACGCGACGGCCGGTCGGCGGGGTCCGCGGGGAAACGCTCATGGACCGCGCGTTGGTCGGATACTTATTTTTCCCCCTCGGAGGCCGCGAGTCGTTCCTCTCGGCCGAAATCGTCGGCGATCGCAGACGTGCGCGCGCGCGCGCGCGCGGGCCTCGGGGCGGCGCGGCGGACGCCGGCCGCGACTCCGTTGTGTCTCTCTATCGCGCCACGGCGTACGCGTTTATCAAACTCAAGCTTGCACTTACCGTGAACGGTCAGCCCTGCTCGCAGCGGGGACGTAGGCACTCGGCGAACGCGGCGGGGACGACATAACACGCGCACCACAGCGGACCGGCCATATTGTTTACCGAGGGGAAGCTACACCGACACTGCCGCCCGTCGCTCGAGCGCGGCGAAAAGTTAACTGTGGCGCCACCTCGTAGACGACCGGGTTAACTACGACGAACCTCCGCGGACGTGACGGGTCGGTATTCGATGTCCCTGTCGGTATTACCGACGCAGTCGCGGGTCGATTAAATCTCGTTCTACATGTCTCAATCGTGTAACATCTTATAATTACACTTCTCGAGAAATAATTAGACGTTACACGATTGAGGCACACATGGAACGAAATTTTTTCCCCGAGTTGCGGTCGGTAATTCACCTCTTATGGTAAACAGTTGGAACAGTCTTTACGACTCACCCTGTATTTTCTTACCTCAATTCACCGATACGTGGACAGACGGAGAAATGCCGCGAACGTCTTCTTCTGCAAAAGAAAGAGAAAAAGCCGATGACTTCGATCGTAAATGAAATCGTCTGTTAACTTTAACTCCATTAAAACTCGTTGGCAGAATTGCCAATATGAAGAATTAAACATTGTAATCGAGGGAGACAATGGCCCGGTTTCACCAACGCGAGTTAATCTAATCGGTCGGTTAACTTAACAGGGTGCCAACATAAAACTTCTTTATTAACCAAGAAAATAGGTTAATAAAGAAGTTTTATGTTGGCACCCTGTTAAGTTAACCGACCGATTAGATTAAGTCCCAGTCTACAATAGATGATTTAAGCCCTAAGCTTTAAGAAATTGGCCAATCACGGTCAAGTATGAGAAGAATGCGCGACTGTGATTAGTCAATTTCTTAAGGCTTAGGGCTTAAATCTCTATTGTAGACTGGGACTAACTCGCGTTGGTGAAACCGGGCCAATGGCCGTGTTCTCCAGAAGTTAGCGCTTAATAAGCGCTTTATGCTGATTGGATAGATCTAGAAGAATAGCTCTATTTCAGCACAGATCTGAAAGTATAATCCAATGAACGCAAAGCGCTTAGCAAGCGCTAACTTCTGCTGGACACAGGCAATTTATTTTATGACCTTAATAATTTCACACTCGATCTATTACGATTAGTTAATGTCGCTTAAATGAAAAGCACTCGGGCTCGACGGCGCGTGCGTGCATTCCGTTACAGTTCGATCGTTGGTTTCAACAGAAAATAAATTCATCAACGTCGCTTAATTAATTTCAACCTCACAGTCTCATTGTTCGCCTCTTTTTAAGGAAACACCTGGAGAGAGGCGAAAGATGAATTGAGCTAATTGTAAGATTAAAGCCAGCGACGTCGGTGAAACCGGACGCCAAGCTCACGTTCTAAATCCTGGCGATTCGCCACGCGCGGCATCCTCGAAAGACCACCGGGTAGACGCGATCTGTTGGACGTCGGCGATGGCCATATTGTCGGGATCCAAATAAGGCGCTTCCGAGGCACCGAAATAGCGTATCGGGCTCCATCGATACTGGAATTGGGATGCCGTGTCGATTTCCCAACTCAGTTTCTCGTCGAGGCGCGCGACCGCGCCGAGGTATCGCCAAGGGACGACAGCGATTCGACAAAGATCACGAAATTGCCTTACCCTGCGCAGAACACGCCGCCATGACACCGCCTTCGGCCTTCCCGCGGTTTCGCGCGGACGCAGGCCGATCGGGGAGATCGCGCGGCTTTCCGCGCCCCTTCCGGACGATCCGTCGCGCCTGCGAAGCGCTCGCGCTCGCGCCTGCGACGCGCTCGCGCCTGCTGCAACGCGCTCGCGCTCGCGCGACGATAAACAATCGTGTATAAACGCGGGGGGCTCGTTCTGGCGCGGACAACGCTCCCTGGATGGGCCACTCGTCCCAACGTACGGAAAATTGAAATAATTTGCCGACCTCCCGCCGCGAGCGAAGGCGCTGATTATCGATAGATTGCGCCGATTGCGCGTTGAAGTCGTTGAAGATCCACACAGGCCGCTACCGCGATGTCGTCCGCGACGCCGGACGTCGACTCCCCCGTGCAGCAGGACATCGAGCGCGCCACGTGCGACGTGGTCCACGACGTGGGCAGCGACCTGGTGGCGCAGCAGCCACAGCAGCAGCAATTGCCCTCGCAGGGCGTACGCGGCGACGGCGTGTCCGACAACCTCGGCGGGTTCCCGAGTCGGGACCAGCCGAAGAAGTCACCCCCGTTGGGCGGCAGGAGGGTCAGGGTCAAAATGGAGTACATCAATGACAAGGTCAGGAGATACAGAACGTTCTCCAGGAGAAAGTCCGGCATTATGAAGAAGGTTCGTATCGCCTTGCGGCTTGTCGCTCTGTTCTTGTTGTCAAGCTTGTATTTCAAACAGGTGACACGTGTCTATGCCTTTCTTCGGTACTCTGTAACGTTGATATTTCGTGAAGGTATACCTGATTATCGTGCGATGTTGTTTAAATAACCTGCGACGTGATTAAGGGCGCTTCCCAGCAACAGGCGACGCTGCGTCAATCTGCATCCCTTGCTAGAATGCGCCCTAAATTTTGTACAGTTTCTCTTCATTTAGAATTTTTCACGCCTTTTTCAGCCGGTTTTCGATGTTTTATGTTCATTGTAGCGTCAATGATATTTTATCTCCCATTCGAGGAGACTAACGCAATCGTATCCTAATATTCCACAAGTCGAGCGTCGGTGCGAAAATTACAACAGTTTATCCAAGAGACACGTTGCGCAGCAAGAACGTCGCGTGCGGCAAAGTAACGTACCGTCACAAAAGCAAAGCGCATTCGCGATAAATGTGTTTGCGGGACAAACACGCTTGTGCTTTCCCCCTCGGAGAATTCGCGAGAATTAACGATGCGACGTGTTCGCAGGCGCGCGAGCTGACGACGCTGACCGGCACGCAGATGATGCTACTGATGGCGAGCGAGACCGGCTACCTGTACACGTTCGCAACGCCCAAGCTGCAGCCACTGGTGGCGAGCGACGCTATCAACGCGCTGATCCGAGCGTGCCTCAGCAGACCGAACCCGCCGCCGGGCTACCAAGGGACGTCGGCCTTCGACCTGAGGAGGACCAGGCTGATGCCCGTCGCCGGCGACCTGCAGAAAGCGAGGCAACTGGTGTACGGCTCGCCGCGCAGTGGCCCGCTACACGCCGGCTCTTCTGGCGCCGGGCTTCGTAGCGAGCCAGCGAGCGGCCCAACCGCGCGGGTCCATCCGTTCCCGCCGGGCTTGCAGCGCACGCACTTCGTAGCGCAGGCACAACAGCCGGCGGCCACCGTCGCACCTCGTGCCGCATTCGGGCCCGATGCCCACCGTCAGCAAATACCAGCATCCATGCTCCTCGCCTCGGCCGCTCAATCGCACCACCTGCCATCCTCTTGCGTCGCGTTCGCACCCCCAGCCGTACACGCTCACCGCTCGTCGGGCCCTCGCGCGACCTTATTCCCGCCGCACTTCGCGTTTTAATCCCGATTTTCGTCAACGTCATTTAACTTTGATCTTTAGTTTTCAATTTCAATCATTTCTTGAATTGTTTTCCATGCTCTTTTGTCTCTGTCTAAGGGAACAGAGAAAGAGGGAGAGAAAGACAAAGGATGAATTGCGGTGAAAATGGACGGAAGACGTTGAAAATACTTGGCGGAGGTGTTGGAGATCCCGAGGCGCCGAGACGCTGCTGAGGCGCGTCTTGTTGCCACGAGTGTGAATGTACTCGGAAGAGAGATTTATCTCGCTGTGAGTTCGAGCGATCGCAATAGATTCGTGCAATTTATTATTTTAAGAGATTTATCTCCCGTAAAGATTGTAGATTGAGAGGCTCGAATTTGACGAACGTCAGAGCTTAAGCTCCAAGAGTGAGATAAATCGCCGTTTAGATATCTGAGCGTTTACACATTTGACTTTTATTTTATGTACGTTTCAACGTCGCAAACTTTTCTTTCGTTATTTATTCACAATTGACTCTGTGAAACACGACATACAACTATTTTAGCGTACTGTTTTGGCGCGCGCGCGCGCGCGCGCGTTTTTTTATAGAATATCAAAGTAATTTCCATTCTACACGGTATTTTATTTAATTATATACGACGAACGGTTAGATACGCATTACCGATATTGTAATCCGACATTGGTCGCAATGTTGGCGTGCTCTTTTTTGGTATTGTACATTTTACGATTTTAAGTTGCAGAAAATACCCCTCCTCTGTTTCTCTTCACGAGAGAGCTTAAATGCTTATTTATCTTCATAAGTCTTGTCGAGGAGCAAAGATCTCCGTTAGATAAAACTGTCACGACAATACTTGGTTAATAGATTTACCGAACCGACGGTATGCGTGCAAATTAGGCGGTGCACGCTTAATACTGTTACGCATTCCCCCCCTTTTTTTATCAAGTATCTTTTTATATATATATTGTTTACCGTGTAATATGTGTAATTGTTTAGATTGTCTTTTCTCGCAGAATAAGTAGCTGGTATTTGGATTACCTCTTGATTTAATCCATCTCCTTCCTAATCTCTATCCGTATCCCATATCGATCTGTTTAGCGTGCATGTTCCGTATATGTGTGTATGCATTGTTTGCTGATTCTGTGGAAAAAAAACCGAGGAGAAGGCAAAAGTAAAAAGAAGCAACGCCGCCCTAGTAGCACAGTGCATTGAACAAACGTCGGTTAAACATCGGGCCGATGTTTAGCCAATGCGCTGTGCTACTAGGGCAGGTACGAGAAGGCCCTCAGACTTGGAATAGACATGTAAAAATCAACTGTACATCTTGCATACAAAGGGTACAAATAATAATAACATCGATTACAATTTTAATGTTGAACTGCAGATGTGAATCTTCCACACGATTACAGTTTGCATTTTGGCATTTTTATATAAAGTATTCATAACAAAAATACTATAAAATATTTATATATTTTTACGCCTGTGAAAGGTACACGCGCCTGCACAAATTTCGTCTCTGATAATATAGTACTAAGCGATTTGCTTTTCTGTTAGTTGCGCATGACGTCAAGTCTTCACCTGCTCTCGCGAATCGGGTAGAGATCTCTCAAAATTTTTAGTTTTCTATTCCTATCCCGTATCGATCTGTTTACCGTGCATGTACCGTGTGTGTGTACATTGCTGATATTTGCGGAAAAGAAAACCGAGGAGAGGGCAAAGGTGGAGAGAGAGAAGCAACGCCAGATACGAGAAAACCCACGGACCTCGAATGGACATGTGGAGAACTATTGTATAAGCCTTCGGATTGTAATAATTTAAATAATCTTCGACAACTTATAAGTTTCCATGTCACGTAGGACAATATATGCCTTCAATTTTCGAGCGATTAGTGGAGATATTAGATTCCGCGAAATTATATGTGAAGAAATGAAGAGTATTTTTTACGATATACACGTGAA